CACACTCTCTTCCCCAAAAACCTATACGCGCTTGAGATCCTATTGTTGAAACCAGCGTTAGCTCGGGGTGACATTCCGGGAAATACCATAGGTCAGTGGCACTCGACAAGCACCGTTACACCATTCACAATGGCCGCTGTAATGATATAATAGGCTTGTGCACGTCCATATATCATGCATGAAAGATTCTGAAGAAAACAATTACATTATGTAGTTAATTTAAAAAGTGAGTGAGTGAGTGAGTATGGTTTTACGCCGCTTTTAGCAATATTCCAGCAATATCACGGCGGGGGACACCAGAAATGGGCTTCACACATTGTATCCATTTCGGGAATCGGACCCCGGTCTTCGGCGTGACGAGCGAACGCGTTAACCACTAGGCTACCCGACCGCCCCTAATTTAAAAAGAAGCACAATGTATTGTTTTAACACTGAGGCCCTGACACGGATATCAAACTAACCCTTATCGTCTTCTATTGATAATTTTTCTAATTATAGTTCAGGACTCATATATCCTATATTTCACCGAGTGAGTGCTTGAATGTTGTTTTATTTCGCTATCAGCTATATTCCAGTATATCACGGCGGCCTGTTAACAATCATGGGGTACTGAGCACCAATATTCTTCCCCTGAAATCCAGTATTCAGCCAAGAATGTGGAACTGACCTTTTCCTAAATATTAAATGTCTTCCGAAGGTCTAAAACATCCTCAGTACGGGACGTAGTGTTGACGACGGTCGATATCTTTTCGACAGCTGGGGTAACTGGTAACTCGTAGTACTTATAACATTAGAACCAGTTTCGGAAGTAAAGATGTCTGTGTTCCAAAAATTATATTGACCAGAATGCAACAAAAACTGAACAGACTTGTCATGCTCCCTATTGACGTGCTATTAGAATGGGCTATTAGGATGAATCATGGACTACCGTATTTCCTCTAAAAGACGCCGCGTCAAAACCAAATTGGAAGAAAAGTGGCTTGATCTCTAACAGGTGTCTGATACACTCCAGGTTATTTCAGTATGTCCGAAATACACATCGTGACGCCAATGAGAGGAAATACGATATATTGCCATTGGATTAGTATTCACCACAAATTAGACTCGGTTTGGTACTAAACAATATGCACATGCCTTTTGCTGAAATTGAAAATGCTTTTGTTGACACAAGTCGTATTACAGTCGATGAGTGTTTCCAGCATGTAAAAAACAATCTCAATATCCCAGGTTGAGAATCAAACCCGGCGAAAGCTCTAGCCACTAGGCTACCCTAAAAAGGGACACACTACGTGTCATTATCACGACAATTTATATTTATAGGCAATACTGTAAAGGATGAAACGCCTCTTTACGTCGCAGTCAGCAATATTCCAGCTATACCTTGGTGTCATCTAAATAGTTGAGGGGCGGTGGGGTAGCCTAGTGGTTAAAGCGTTCGCTCGTCACGCCGAAGACCCGGGTTCGATTCCCACATGGGTTCAATGTGTGAAGCCCATTTCTGGTGTCCCCTGATGTGATATTGCTGGAATATTGCTAAAAGCGACGTAAAACCATACTCACTCACCCACTAAATAGTCGATGTTTGAAGGCAAGTACGATGACACTCAACCAACCACGTCTCCGAACCTGACTACTCGATCCAATTTAGTCAATTTAGTCAACGTTTAACACAAGCATTGGCAAATATATTTTTTAATGAATAGCAAATAAATATTTCACATGTAACGTCGTAACGCTTTTCGGCACCATTACAAGTGATGAGGGAGGAAAGCAAGAGGTACCCCCCCCCCCCCCCCCCCCCCCCCTCCCCTCTCTCTCCTATTTTAGTTGATGAGTGAGTATTATTTTGGGCCGCTTTTAGCAGTATTCCAGTAACATCACGACTGTGGACACCAGAAATGGGCTTCACACATTGTACTTATATGGGGAAAGAATCCGGGTCTTTACCGTAGCTGGTGAACGCTTTAACCATGTGGCTATCCCACCACCGACTTCCAGTTCTCCGCGTGGACGCTCTTTCCACTACACCGCGGAGGATGTCATGAGAATGAGTGAATATTGTGAATATGGACCACCTGGCGTGACGACTGAGGCTTTACCCAGCAGGTGCTACAAGATACTTTATTGGTCTGACACACGGGATGTGGTTGTGACATAAAACTGACGATTCTCGTATCAAAATACTCAATAATAGTTTATTCTCTAATAACTGTACATGTCACCACGTGTGTAAAACAGACATGAGCAGACGTCAACAACTTGACAAACATATCCACACACGTCTCATTCTTATAGTGCCCCCACTCAACGACTTTTATACGTTCATGATTTACAACTTAAGAATGTCTGTAAAACGTTCTCATAATACTGAGAAAATTTAAGAAATGGAGACTGCGACACCGACAGCTCATCGAACGAGTAACGGCACCGTTGACGTAATCGCCAACAACGGGGGTCCACGTCAAAGGCTGCTTTATGTAGAAAACAGCAATAAAATATTGAAAACAATTCTAAATCTGAAAATTAATGTCATCAATCTTTTGGAGAAAAGTAATCATGATGTTATGAAAGAAAATGGACAAACGAGTGTGATGATCAATCTCATTAAAATCAGATCTTAATTCACGCTACCGCTAAACAAAGATCTGAGGACACACCATTACGGGTCACGTCAGACCGACCTTTCGCGAACTTTGACCGACCAATCGAATGACTAACAAGAAGTCGACAATAGTCAATCAGAAGGCAGCTTAACCGAGCTTTACGGCACGAGTTTCATATATAGCTTCGAAACATATTTTGACATTCACTCGATTACAAAAATATAAACTGAAAAATAGAACATTCTGGAATGGCTAATGGATGGTCTTGATTGTATGAATAGACATAAACTCATAACTGTCGTGCGAATACCCTGTGTGGGTTTTTTCGAGGTTCTACGATCAAAAATCATATTCCAACCGTCACTTTCATGATCTGATAAGCGATGCTCTGATTGGTCAGATGAAAGGTCGTTCTGACATGACCCGCAATGGGATGTCCTCAGATCTTTGTTTAGCGTAGCGAGAACTAAGATCTGATTTTAATGAGATTGGTGTGATGCTGAAACGTTCTAGTTTCAGATTCAAGGGTGGTCGTGTCAGGTGAACTTTCTTATCAGCCAATCAGCGCCGAGGATTCTAAGTTCTCGGTACGAGTGATCGAAGCATTCAAACAAGCATATCTAATTTCTGTATGTTGAAAACGAACATGATCGGGGAGTTCTGAATGCAAAATAATAGCTCCGCGCTATCATAGTGTTATGAATATTTTTATACATTCTTTCGTCTCTGGGCGAAATGCCATTCCTACCAAACAAGGGCGTACTGTGTATGTGTTTTGTGTGGCTTTTCTAAGTTGAAAAGAAGCGAACCGTATTAGAAATATAACAAAACTAACACACAGTTCACTGAAGTCAGGGTGGTCAAAGTTCGCTCGCAACCTTATGTGCTGGTGTCATCAGATCTCCACGTAGAGATGTTTCAGACCGAAGTAAAATATCTGATTTTAATGAGATTGGAAAGATAATGCACAAGATTTATATGGAACATCAATAAAAAACAATACGGACGATTATCGAGAATGACGTAATGTTACAACTGTAATTACAGCAACGGGGAACATTCGTGTGACTGTATATCTCAGCATTGCACACACATGTTAGTTCGTTGTTTTGGCGTTGTGAAAGCCTAAAAAATCTCAAGGCTACCGATTGTTGGAGCGTTGGATCATAACCTGTTAAAAGTAGCGACTTATTTATTTAAGTCCCACAAACAGCACATTCCAATTTTAAAGTTAATGACACTGCCTCCGTTTGACCTATGTAGACGTACACACTCTAAAACTAGGCACAACATGGACACGTGATCTGAGCAAATTCGTCTCTTGAGTCTTGACATGGCGGTAACGTAGGACAACCTTGGCCTTTGAGTGCATTTGAGAGCGCTTCCAGCTGAGTTGATCCCACACCTGTAGCACCACGGTAGGTATTGGAACTGATTAAGTTGGCAAAGAAAATCGGTTTGTTATTGCTGGTGGAAATCCAGATTGGAGTTTTGATATCATAGGTATCTATGCCACAGTGCGCCAGGTGAGATACCCTGTGGTCAGTCAGTCGTTGAACAAATGTAGATATTTACAAGAAAATTATAAATTAAAGTTTACACGGTTAGTAAAATGTATCAATTATACACACACGTTTAAATCGTTTGGTGAAAATGGATTGATGTTTCGTTTGAGGACTATCAACACTCAGTGCCAAATAGAAAACGTCGTATGGAAAAGGAATGAAAGATTGATAAATATATGGTGTCAATCTGCTGGGGGTGTTGGAGCAACCCTTTATCACATAAAACAAAGCTAATACAACAGAGTAATTAAGAAATACAAATTCTGACAATTTGGTAGAATATTTCGGTGTACGTTGACCCTATTTACTGACAGCACATCACAAATACCACAATCCAAATTGTGTATCGTTTGCAAGATGGCACCGGTGAAATTCGATGAGATGTGCATGGTATTCAGGAAGACAAATACTGCTGAGTTATCAACGACAGGATATTGTTACAACTGGGTCGTCATTATGAGTTGTCTGGTCATCTACAAATCTCCTGTAGGTGGCGTGACCGTTACCCTCGCCCGAAGCTTGTCTCGTGCAGCACGTGCACGTGAAACTATTCTTAACCTCTGCTCTGATGTCGGGAATGGTAAGCCAGGATAGCGGCACCAACATCGCCTTGGAGACACGTATTATCAGAAGCACAATCCATAACGTGAGTCCTCGTTCATAGTTGTTCCACACACCAGGAGTCAGGTGAAATATACTCAAGGGTAAATGTAACGCAACTGTCAGTAATCCGGGAATAATGAAACACATCGGGTGTTCGACTGTACAGCTAAGTGTCTCGGTTGGCGAGTCTCGGATACCAATGAAATTTGCGGCCATGTTGGATTCACCGAGTTTCATTTTTTGAATGATATGAACAACGACCATGACAACTGACGTCAGTATTATTATAGCAGCTGGGACAAAGAAACCCAGCGTTGTCATGGTTGCAAAAGGACTGTAAGGAATTATAGGAGGACAGAAATCGGGTCTCCACATTTCGCGAACATTCGGGTGTATTCGGAAGGAGTAGATCGGAATGACAACGGCGCACATTGCAGCCCACGGGAGTATCAAGAGAACAACGTACAGGAGAGTCTTCACAGGAGAAGATAACACTGTCGTGTTAATGTTAAACAGTCGCATGATGTAATCAATGTTAAGCAGCACGATATACCACGTGGCGACAAATTCCTGGGAGTGATTCATGAACACGAACATAACCAACTGAGTCACGCAGCCATGCACCCAGTCATTTCGGATATACCTGTCGGCGATCAGAGACGCCCCGAACAAGCCCAGGAGAAGGTCCGAAGCAGATAGACAGCAAATGGCGAGATTCCGTAGACGACATCGGAGCTTTGACGACCACAAGATGGAAGCGATGAGAGAAAGGTTAGTTATGATGATGGCAATGATGATTACAATCAGAACACGACCTCCAACCAGTTGCAGAGATAATACTCGGTCTTTATCAAACGCCATCTTGAAAAGTAGTTCCCATATATCCGGCGGATTAATCTGAAAGGCAAACATTATGACAATGGGGGTTATTAAACACCTTGTAATATAGTTTCAGAAGATAACAACATTGTGGTTATTGTACGTCCCCATTTCCATTTTTTAGTGAACGATATTATAATTCAGAACCGCAGCATCGTTGAATGACCTTTTAATACTGAAAGCAACAAAGGTTCTATGCATCTATTCATGAATTCATTATTTTATAAAACTCGACTTGTACTGACTTCCTCGCCATGTGAAAACGTACTGATATGATAGACTGTCTTGTTTTAAATGGGTAGTACTGTAAAATGCACTAACATCCTTTCATCGTGAAATATCGTAATAACAAGTGCAACAAATCATTTAGAAGAAATGAAAATTAACAAAAACCGAATACACGGGATTTTAAAAAGCAAAAACTTGGAAAAACGTAAACCGACAAATAAATACACGCAAAAACATAAACTCTCGTGAAGATATCAACCCAGGAAAAACAGCACGGGAAGGCACTAATCACAAGTCACAAATTACTCTACGGCAATAATCATGATCGATGCATTTCCACTGATCGATAACCACGTCTCACAGAGAAGGTCTGTGTTCGGAAGAGACCCAGCATATGTGTCCAATTGTGACAATTTATGAGAATTTCACCTTAGTTACACTCTAGTTTCCCTGGTTACACGCGTGGTTAGGTTTCTATCACCGTCGTTATGTTACACAGACCCTGACCTGAGAACATTGACGCAGGCATAGGTCATTGGGTGTTAGAGAGCAGAGAAAGGTCGCAAGAACAAGAATGTGACACATTGTTATGGCGTGTCGGTGTATGTTGGGTTGAAGGGGCGCTGGGGTAGCCTAGTTGTTAAAGCGTTCGCTCGTCACGCCGAAGACCCGGTTCGATTCCCGAGATGTACAATGTGTGAAGCCCTTTTCTGTTGTCCCCCGTCGTGATATTGCTGGAATATTGCTAAAAGCGGCGTAAAACCATATTCACTCACTCACTGTTGGGTTGAATAGCTTTAACAACGTCACCTATGTGAGTTGTGTTTAAGCCGGAACATTATTTCAGTTACATCAAGGTCGGTCAGCTTGATGATGGAGGAGAGCCAAAAGTGATGCAGATCTCAGACGTTTACCACTTGGGTGAAACCTATTAGCTCAGGTATGGAGCTGACAAACCAAGAAACATAATCAGGGCGAACCGGGAGTCTAAGCCATAATCGTATGTATCTGGAATGCCTGTGTCGGGTCTCTATGACACACGCTCAGTCAGGTCGGTCATTGTGACCACCCGATCCCAACGAGTCTGCTCTTACAAGCATGGGGTGATTCTGGGGATCTATCGTGTCCATGAATCCTGGTTTTGCTATTGTTATAAGGAGTGCGTTTCGTATCTCTATATTCCCAGTCCCTAGGAAATGGAGCGATAGATAAGGTGGGGTTGCGGTGATGCGGGTGGGAGAGACGGTCAAATCCGGCGAACAAAGGAAACCTAGATCGCAACAAATTGATTATTTGCTCGTCGTTGATTCTACAGAGGCAGTGGGACTAGAAAACTGCAAAACACCAACGCGAAACTAACCTCCAAAACGCAGCCACTTGCAACCAAATAATTCAGACGTATGTTATTCAGTTGAAGCAAGCGTCATATAATTCCCCCTTCGATATCCTGTGGCAACTCGTCTCTGATCGACCCCAACGCTGGAGTGCTACACGAGAGGAACAAGGGAACAGGGGAACCCGATTACGATAACACGCTGTGATCTCCTGATAAAGAATTCAATTTCCCAAATTGATTAGGCACCGTTAACATAGTTACCAGGACGGTTCTGAGGTGTATTTCTGAAGCTTTATGACGTCACACAGACACGGGGGCCGATTTTGAGCGACTATTCAATAACTATGTGTACAGAGTCCATCCAGGAGAGAAGACCAATAGAGATTTCTGCCAAACAGCTCCCTTTGAAATGTTTGAGAAACACGGACCCGCCGAGAAGGTGTCTCAAGGGGTGAGAGGGGCCCAGTGTCGATCATCACGTAAATATTGAAGTTTAAAAATGAATATCATCAATTATTACAGGCTATAGTGAAGAATATTTAGACTTTCAAAAAGGATTGTATAGGGTTAGTGAGGGTACACGACAGGGGGTAGGGAGGGATGCGAGGCATCAGGCGATGCAATTTGTTGTACAGAAACCCGTCCCTGAATCGTGCAAGGAATGTATAGATGGTCGTGGTTCGAATCCCAGATTTTTCCCAGTTATGATCTGCTTGATCCTTATGGGTTTGTCATATCTTAACGCTGCGGTGTATTGCATCGAAGTAAACCAACTAGAGAACTTGTGCCACTGTCGCGACCACACGTTTATCTTTGCATGTTCGACCTCGTATGGCGCTTCGTTGCTGTGTCATTGCATTCCTCGCTGTCTCGCGTTAATGCTGGGTTTACAGGTGGACGGTATAGTCTCTAAGACTCCCTTCCCGGGTATGTATACATGTATCTCAGTTTGAGTGCGGTAACATCGTAAAGTAAAGTATACAGGGAGTGTCAACGGACGTAACTCGTTAAGAATTGGCCTTCAACGTGACACCCTCTCTCTCTCTCTCTCTCTCTCTCACACACACACTCCACATGCACACATACACACACACATACACACACACATACACACCACACACACTCTCACACATACACACATACTCCACATGCACACTTACACATACACACACACACATCCCACACACATACACTCGCGCACTCACCACTCACACACCACACCACACACACACACACACTCTCACACATACACACACACCACAGACATATACACTTTCACACACCAGACATACACTCACACACGCCACTCACACACATACTCACACACATACACTCACACACCACATACACTCCAAAACACAACACACATACTCTCTCTCTCACTCTCTCTCACACACACACACACACACACACACTCACACATACACACACACCAGACATACACTCATACACACCAGACATACACTCATACACACCAGACATACACTCACACACCACATACACTCCAAAACACCACACACATACTCTCTCTCTCACTCTCTCTCTCACACACACACACACACACACACTCTCTCTCACACACACACACACACACTCTCACACATACACACACACCACAGACATATACACTTTCACACACCAGACATACACTCATACACACCAGACATACACTCATACACACCAGACATACACTCACACACCACATACACTCCAAAACACCACACACATACTCTCTCTCTCTCTCTCTCTCTCTCACTCTCTCTCTCACACACACAGACACACACACACACACACACACACACACACACACACACACACACACAGCTGATATACCCAAATTAAAATGATAGCCTAATCAGTTCATAAACATGCCAGACTCAAGATGAAACGCAAACATACTTAAGTTACTTAACTGTTATTTATTTTCCCCGAGATGAAATCGCGAGCCACAAATACTCTTTTCCTAACAAGCGTCCCTATGTCTGTCTAGTGAGCTTCCTGTTCAGTGATAAAGGCTTGCCGTGGTAATTGGGTTTTTAGCGTGCTACCTTACCGTGTTTACAAGGGAATGGTTGAAGTGAACAGTCTCCACGGAACAGAAGTACAAGCCCGGATGTAGCCCACCCCGCGAACAAATCGAAAACAGATCGTTGTATGTGTAGTCTCTGTACACATGTGGTGTAGTGGATAGAGCGTCTGCCCGGAGAGCGGAAGGTCGGGGTTCAATCTCCGTCCGCGTCATACCAAAAGACGGTAAAACATGGTACTTGTTGTTACCCTGCCTAGTGTAAAACAGAGGATAAAAACGGACTGGTCGGCTCTGTCAGTATACTGTGTCTCAGTGGGGTATCCTTGTTAAACTTCGACTGGCACTATAAAACCAGCATTTGTCCGTAACAGACACACACACGCCCGCCCGCACGCGCGCGCGCGCATGCATTTACTTATTATTAGTGTAAGAATCTTTGACGCGATGTTATACCTCATTTCGGATGTGTTCACATGAACAGAAACGTTTCGCCCTGGTGGTTTAGGGCAGAGCAAGCGGCGCACATAGAATTGAGTGAGTTCGTTTTAGCAGATATTTATTTGAACCGGAATTAGTTTTCATATTCAGTGTGATGTTATTTGCTTATTGTTGAACGCCAGTCAGCAATATTCCATCTATATGACGGCCTGTACATAGTCTCGTCCGGGCAGACCAGTGATAGATAACATGAGCAACGATGCACGCCGTCTAGGCACGATGACACGCAATTATCCAAATCACCGACCCTGACCACGCGATCAGATTACGTATTTAGTGTGAAGAAATTCGTAATTTTGGTTGCAATAACAGCTGTAAGTGATATAAAAATATTTTTAAAAATTATTTTGTTTCTTTTTACTTCCGTACGATGTTAATCTTCCCGATACGACAGTGGCCATAGCTTGCTCTATACGGGATGTATACCGTCATCTTAAATCGGCTATAGCGAACTAACCTGTTATCCCCAGGACCCGGGATACACGCTTCGCATATAACGCTTCTGTTCATGTACTACACGGTTCGGATATTACTTGTCTGTTAATGTGAACAAAGACTTCCCACGTGAAGATAGGTCGATTAGGTCTTCTGCAACCCATGCTTGCCGTAAAAGGCGACTATGCTTGTCGTAAGAGGCGACCAACGGGATCGGGTGGTCAGGCTCGCTGACTCGGTTGATGCATGTCATCGTATTCCGATTGCGTGGATCGATGCTCATGATGTCGATCACTAGATTGTCTGGTCCGGACTCGATTATTTACAAACCGCCGTCATATATCTGTAATATTGCTGAGTACGGCGTAAAACAACAAACAAACAAACAAACAAAACTATGCGCGTCGCTTGCTTTTCCCGAAACTACCACAGCTGTACCATAACACTCTATAACAACCCTCGTTATGAAGGCAGCACCGACTCTTCATTATGGAAACGCCTCATTTCATCAATCCAATCAACAGAAAGCAATCAGTTTATTCCAGTGGTGATCAAGGAAGTTCATAAGTGGAAGAAGCTTCAGAAATTGTGAATTAACGAAATGAAAACGGTATGAATACCTTAACATCCGACTCCCATGAAACGATGGAGAGCTTCGGCTCATCGATGAGGAAAGTTTTCAGCTGAGTAGGCAGTGTTTTCGGAGTAATGAGTTAGGTTCACTCTGCTTTGAACAGAATACTTTTCAGCCTCTTTTTGGCGAGATGTCGACAGTGTAATGGCGGTGACAAGATTAAGTATCAAGGTTACATGAATTCATCGATTGTGTGTCGACATGAACGACAAATTCACGGACGTTAATGCTTAAATACACATTCACAAACTCTCATGCAGCATGTGTGCAACGAAGATTATATAGCATTTAACGTCTTATGGCAGTCCCGACCTTTCACAAAGATATTTATTTGAACATCTCCTGCATCATCACCCACAAAAGAAGTCGGACTAGTCAAGTTTTTTTCATAAGATGACGCTATGAAATTTATCCTTCATGGAATGTGAACTGTTTGCTTCTAAACAAACCATGGCTAAACTGCACGAAATCCTTTATATCCCCCCCCCCCCCCCCCCCCCCTCCCCCCAACACATACCCCACCCCCCACGCCCACCAGTTGTCTGATTACATGAATACAGCATCTATGGTTTATTTTAAGCTTTGTATATATTAATTGTGAATGATTTAGACATATGGTGTTCAGACAAAGACTTCAGTTGTACAAACGTTTGGGAAACTGAGCGCATCGTTAAAACGCAACTAAAGTAATTAAGATTGAAATTCTTTGGACACAAAAACTAAGGATATAAATAGCATACCTTTCAAACAGAAACTATACTCGTCATGCACGTGCATACACACAAAGGAAAGTAACATTTACAGACGAAACATACCTTATTAACGAGACAATCCGGTTTTACCAATTCTGTTTACATCGGAACCACGAAAAATGGCGACTCTGGCTGAATCAATACCTCGCGGTGATTCACTCCCCTCAGACTGCAGAGTCGGTTGCTAAGGAAACGGAATATTCCGTCGTTATCCAGGTTCGTGTTACGGAATGTGTGTGTGTTTACTGGTACTGCGCAGTGCAGCTACTCTTTAGCGCTGGGCTGTTATTAAAGCAGAACGACGATCGCCAATCTGATAACAACTACAAACAGAAAGAGTTTCTTATTTTTAGTTGGAATAAGAATGAGAGCCTGAACTTACTTTATACGACTTGCACTGAGTTGCGGATAAATACATGTACAACTTTAGGCTGGGCTTGGAAGATGGGGTGTGGAGTAGGTTTGTGAGATTGGGATGTTGAGGTGTGGAGTGGGTGATTGGGAAGATGAGGTGAGGGGTGGGTATGTGAGATTGGGAAGGTGAGGTGTGGGGTGGGTATGGGAGATTGGGAAGGTGAGGTGTGGGGTGGGTATGGGAGATTGGGAAGGTGGGGTATGGGAGATTGGTAAGGTAAGGTGTGGGGCGGGTGGAGAAGATTGGGAAGGTGAGGTATGGGATGGGTATGGGAGATTGGGAAGGTGAGGTGTGGGGTGGGTATGGAAGATTGGGAAGGTGAGGTGTGGGGTGGGTATGGGAGTTTGGGCAGGTGAGGTATGGGGTGGGTATGGGAGATTGGGAAGGTGAGGTGTGGGGTGGGAAGGTGGGATGGGTGATTGGATTGATTGGGAAGGTGAGGTGTGGGGTGGGTATAGGAGATTGGGCAGGTGAGGTATGGGGTGGGTATGGGAGATTGGGAAGGTGAGGTATGGGAGTTTGGGAAGATGAGGTGTGGGGTGGTATGGGAGATTGGGAAGGTGAGGTGTGGGGTGGGAAGGTGGGATGGGTGATTGGGAAGGTGAGGTGTGGGGTGGGTATAGGAGATTGGGAAGGTGAGGTATTGGGTGGGTATGGGAGTTTGGGCAGGTGAGGTATGGGTTGGGTATGGGGGATTGGGAAGGTGAGGTGTGGGTGATTGGTAAGGTAAGGTGTGGGGTGGGTATGGAAGATTGGCAAGGTGAGGTGTGGGGTGGGTATGGGAGTTTGATAAGGTGAGGTATCGGAGATTGGGAAGTCGAGGTGTGGGGTGGGTATGGGAGATTGGGAAGGTGAGGTGTGTGGTGGGTGATTGGAAAGGTTAGGTGTGGGATGGGAAGGTGGGATGGGAAGGTGGGATGGGTGATTGGAAAGGTGAGGTGTGGGGTGGGTATGGAAGATTGGGAAGGTGAGGTGTGGGGTGGGTGATTGGAAAGGTGAGGTGTGGGATGGGAAGGTGGGATGGGTGATTGGAAAGGTGAGGTGTGGGGTGGGTGATTGGAAAGGTAAGGTGTGGCTTGGGTATGGGAGATTGGGAAGGTGAGGTATTGGAGTTTGGGAAGATGAGGTGTGGGGTGGTATGGGAGATTGGGAAGATGAGGTATGGGGTGGGTATGGGAGTTTGGGCAGGTGAGACATGGGGTGGGTATGGTAGATTGGGAAGGTGAGGTATGGGAGTTTGGGGAGATGAGGTGTGGTGTGGTATGGGAGATTGGGAAGTTGAGGTATGGGGTGGGTACGGGAGTTTTGGCAGGTGAGGTATGGGGTTGGTATGGGAGATTGGGAAGGTGAGGTATGGGAGTTTTGGAAGATGAGGTATGGGGTGGGTACGGGAGTTTGGGCAGGTGAGGTATGGGGTGGGTATGGGAGATTGGGAAGGTGAGGTATGGGAGTTTGGGAAGATGAGGTGTGGGGTGGTATGGGAGATTGGGAAGATTATGTATGGGGTGGGTACGGGATTTTAGGGCAGGTGAGGTATGGGGTGGGTATGGGAGATTGGGAAGGTGAGGTATGGAAGTTTGGGAAGATGAGGTGTGGGGTGGTATGGGAGATTGGCAAGATTAAGTATGGGTGGGTTTTTGGATTTGGGGCAGGTGAGGTATGGGGTTGGTATGGGAGATTGGGAAGGTGGGGTTTGGGAGTTTGGGAAGATGAGGTGTGGGATGGTATGGGAGATTGGGAAGATGAGGTATGGGGTGGATATTGAATTTTGGGAAGGTGCGGTATGGGGTGGGTATGGGAGATTGGGAAGGTGAGGTATGGGAGTTTGGGAAGATGAGGTGTGGGGTGGTATGGGAGATTGGGAAGACGAGGTATGGGAGTTTGGGAAGATGAGGTGTTGGGTGGTATGGGAGATTGGGAAGATGAGGTATGGGGTGGGTATTGGATTTTGGGAAGGTAAGGTGTGGGGTGGGTATGGGAGATTGGGAAGGTGAGGTATGGGGTGGGTATAGGATATTTGGAAGGTGAGGTGTGGGGTGGGTATGGGGTATTGGGAAGGTGAGGTGTGGGGTAGGTATAGGAGATTTGGAAGGTGAGGTGTGGGTCGGGTATGGGAGATTGGGAAGTCGAGGTGTAGGGTGGGAAGGTGAGGTGTGGGGTGGGTGATTGGAAAGGTGAGGTGTGGGGTGGGTATGGGAGATTGGGAAGGTGAGGTGTCGGGTGGATATAGGAGATTGGGAGGTCGAGGTGTGGGTTGGGTGATTAGGAAGGTGAGGTTTGGAGTGGTTGTTGGAGATTGGGATGTGGAGTAGGTATGGGAGACAAGGAAGTTGAGGTGTAGGGTGGGTGATTGGGAAGGTAAGGTGTTAGGTCGGTATGTCCTTAATGCCGACACACGACTCTGCAAATACCATTAATTCACAAAATCATAAACTATATTATGAGTTAATGGTCATGTTAAGAAGCTATTATAAATTTTTTAGAGTCTTCGTGTTTAAAATCATTCCATAAAAATCATTTACTCATGCAAGCAATGAACAGCCTTTATTGTAGCTGTCGACATTACGGCTAAGAATTGTTTGTTATTCATAAGCATTATCCGCTAAATACATCCATTATTACCGATGACTGTTTCACTTCTACTTTAAAGCAAAATAACAATCAGAGCTGAGTTGATTGCAATAATATGTCAGCGCTCTCCAGCCGAGGATATAATTACACAAAAGCACTCTCCAAATGCGTTGGCGAAATATTCCGAATGTTCGCAAATGATATTTCTAGCTGAACGAAAAACTTTGCAATGTATAGTTGATCGGCGAGGCATAGATATCGTGGTCAGATGACAAGAAGGGATCAGCGCATGTGACAGTTTCATTTGTGGTGAGTGTGTCTTTATTTTCCTTGATTTTGATTAAATATCGGTACGAAACCAAATGGAACGCGTGTAATTATAATGATTACTGTACAATGTGGATGGTAAGGGCATATTTCATTATCGATTCGAAACAAGTGCATTACCACATATGATTAAAGTCAGATACTGTTCGACATTCTGCGTGGGTTAATCAAACGCTTCGAACATCACATAGCATAGTTAAATCCAGAGCTTGAACGACGAGCATGTTAACAATCAAATATCGATTACTATTTTAGAGGAATGTAAAAACACTTCGTTAAGTTAAGATTTCTTCAAATCTGAAGAGACCGCCTCCGTGGTCTTGTGGTAGAGCGTCCGCCCGGAGAGCGGAAGGTCCAGGGTTCGATCCCGGGCCGCGTCATACAAAAAGACGTTAAAAGATTGTAAAAGATTGTAATGCGCTCGGCATTAAGGGGCTAAAATAAGGACTGGTCGGCTCGGAGTCAGTATACTGTGTCTGAGTGGGGTATTCATGTTAAACTGCGGCATGGTATCTCAGTGAGCTAGCACTATAAATCGGCATCAGTCCGGACTAGTACAAGCAGCCACACACACACATACACGTGCATGCACGTCACTATATAAGTGCAATAATCTTGGACGCGACGTTAAACCCAATTTCACCTCACCTCAAATCTGAAGAATTCTTGTGAGTAGAAGAAGTTTCTCGCTGACAACATGTGAATAGGAACTAATAAAGGTGGAGATGTGTGACTGTAGTTCACGCTTAAAGTGTGATGGAGGACATATATCAGAGACTGAGATAGCATTGATTGTGTTGTAAAGAGCATCCATCGCCATCATCACCACCATCATCACACATGATTTGATCATTACACGACCATCGTCGTAATCAATATCATCATCAACATCATCATCATTATACATGATGTTATCATCATCATCTAGTCATCATCATCATGCATGATTTTATCATCATCGTCTAGTCATCAGCATCAGCATCTTATAATCGCCATCAATATCACCTTCCTTGTCGCTAGTATTGGTATTTACCTTATTCTCTTCATCTACCAGATGGACGACGCCAACAACCTCTTCACGAACTACTACGACGACTACCTCGGCGTCAACCTCAACTCCTTTAATCAGGTCAGTGTCTAATGATGATGATGATGATGTTGGAGATTTAACGAGCGCTTCCGGTGTTGCAGGATTTCGCACTCGGGGCATGACTAGAACCATATGAGTGAGTGAGCGAGTTGGGTGTAACGCCGCTATTAACAGTATTCCAGTTACCACTTCGTTGAAATCCACGAGCACGGGTATGGTGCTTACAAACCTAGATAGAAACATGTGAAGGAATTATTTTAAAACAAAGTAAATTTGCAAATGTATGCCCCAAAATATTTCCCATGACGGTCGGAAAGGGAAATAAGTGATAACTCAAGAGTAATGGGGTTATTTTGGAATAGGTGCCTGAAAACTAGCTGACGGAATTAATGTGGTAGTGTGATTTTTTAGTTGCTTTCGCTTGTTTGTTTTTTATGGGTAGGGCATTTAGATCCTACCATTTAATTTGGTTTTGATTAGATAATTGCCCAGGTGGTAATAGTTGGAGGAGTTGCTGAATTAAGAGTTTGTTGCGGTGTAAGTTGTAGTGTTTACATTGGAACATGACGTGGTTAATGTTAATGACAGTGAAGGCAGTGGCCTGTACGATGCTTTTTAATTTTGAGCTTATGGCTGTTCAGGTTTGTGTGACCAGTGTGGAGTCTAGTTACATGACTACTATTACCCAAATGGCTACTTTTCCCCACATGACCACTATTCCCCACATGACCACTATTCCCCACATGACTACTATTTCCCACATGGCTACTATTCCCTACATGACCACTATTCCCCACATGACCACTATTCCCCACATGACCACTATTCCCCACATGACCACTATTCCCTACATGACCACTATTCCCCACATGACCACTATTCCCTACATGACCACTATTCCCCACATGACCACTATTCCCTACATGACCACTATTCCCCACATGACCACTATTCCCCACATGGCTACTATTCCCCACATGACTACTATTACCCAAATGGCTACTTTTCCCCACATGACAACTATTCCCCACATGACCACTATTCCCCACATGACTACTATTTCCCACATGGCTACTATTCCCTACATGACCACTATTCCCCACATGACCACTATTCCCCACATGACTACTATTCCCCTCATGACCACTATTCCCCACATGACCACTATTCCCCACATGACTACTATTCCCCTCATGACTACTATTCCCTACATGAACACTATTCCCCACATGACTACTATTCCCCTCATGACTACTATTCCCTACATGACCACTATTCCCCACATGACCACTATTCCCCACATGACTACTATTCCCCTCATGACCACTATTCCCCACATGACTACTATTCCCCACATGACTACTATTCCCCTCATGACTACTATTCCCTACATGACCACTATTCCCCACATGACCACTATTCCCTACATGACCACTATCCCCCACAGTCTAGTTATAGCCCTGTCTGTTAGTTTGTTTTGGTTGCACGTTGAGGCTTTGTGTTGTGGTTTTTTTACTTTTCGTTTAAGGTGTTTTGCTATCGTTGAGTTGTGGTATTTAGATGCCCATTTAGCCCTGAGTTTGCTAAGAATAATTGGCTAATGACTTACTGGATAGTGTTATCGATGTATAAACTCTATATATGCCAACTTGCACAAAAGCCTTTGCAGAACGCTCGACAAAAGTTAATCTAAGTTTCCCGATGTGGAAGTGGTTATGTAAACAAACATGTCCTTTGGCACTATATAATAAATAGTGCAATTCACTCAGGCATTTATACGCTACTTCTTAAGTTATCTTAGTGAAAGACAAATGTCTGAAACAACGAGTATGTTAAGCTTGACATTGTATCGTGAAGAGATTATTGCCCTCATATGTTTCCGTATAATTTATACCATATATTAGTAATAGAAAGCGTATCATGCAAACCTTTTGCAAAAATACACACTGCTTATAATCTCAATTGCCTATCCCACACATGTACTCTGTGATAAGGTCACACCCATGATTATGTGTAAATGGGAACTACAATATATGACCTGCTGCTAGTTAGGCAGTAATTTTAGTTGCTTTAATGGAGGAATTAATACCTTATTTTGTCATTAATATGTTCGGTATGCCGAAAAGTCTGATCAAATCGTTATTGGCAGATACAACAGTTATTCATTACTAAGTTATGTCAATTACAGAGTCCGTTTTATCCAAGATCCGTAATTATTTGGGAATCTACCAAATGGCCGCATTAGTAACTAGTGTGTCTGGGGTTCCTCACTACACACTTTAAAGAAATGTTAAGTCTACAAACACATAAACTTGTGAGACATTTGCATATTTTAGCCGAGCGTGTTTGACGAATCGTTTAACAGTAAACTAAACTGCAGTTTTGAATCGGTGAAAAAGAGGAAGTGGAAAAGACCTTGTGTTGTTCTGTTTGACGCCATTTTAACAAATTACATTACCTTGATACGGTAGTACGATATATGATCACCAACCATGTGTTAAATATGAAATAACATCACTCTCACCTACCGTTATTTTTTCAGATTTTAATAATCAGTATCACTAAAACAAATCTGAACCTTGGAAGTTTAACCACGTGTCAGTATTCCAGCGGATTGTTGCCACTGTTAAGAACGTGAAGATAACAGTAAATACTAATGTCAAGGCATAGCCTTATGGTTGCTCTTTATAATTTCCTACATGCTTCATGTGTGAAGCCCATTTCTGGTGTCCCCCGCCGTGATATTGCTGGAATATTGCTCAAAGCGGCGTAAAACCATACTCACTCCACTCACTCCTACATGCTTCTGTTCCCCACATGGCTACTATTCCAAACTTGGCTACTTTTTCCCACATGACCACTATTCCCCACATGACTACTATTCCCCTCATGACTACTATTCCCTACATGGCTATTTTTCCCCACATGACTACTATTACCCAAATGGCTACTTTTCCCCACATGACCACTATTCCCCACATGACCACTATTCCCGACATGGCTACTATTCCCCACATGATTACTATTACCCAAATGGCTACTTTTCCCCACATAACCACTATTCCCCACATGACTACTATTCCCCACATGACCACTATTCCCCACATGATCACTATTCCTCACATAACCACTATTCCCCACATGACCACTATTCCCTACATGACCACTATTCCCCACATGACTACTATTACCCAAATGGCTACTTTTCCCCACATGACCACTATTCCCCACATGACCACTATTCCCCACATGACCACTATTCCCCACATGACTACTATTTCCCACATGGCTACTATTCCCTACATGACCACTATTCCCCACATGACCACTATTCCCCACATGACTACTATTCCCCTCATGACCACTATTCCCCACATGACTACTATTCCCCTCATGACCACTATTCCCTACACGAACACTATTCCCCACATGACTACTATTCCCCTCATGACTACTATTCCCCACATGGCTATTTTTCCCCACATGGCTACTATTCCCCACATGACTACTTTTACCCAAATGGCTACTTTTCCCCACACGACCACTATTCCCCACATGACTACTATTTCCCACACGGCTACTATTCCCTACATAGCTATTTTTTCCCACATGACTACTGTTTACTGATTGGCTGATATATAAATGAGCCCGGCTTGTGTTGCATTATTGGACTGAACGATGTCATTCGCTTCATATCGTTGTCTACAGTTTCCATTACGCTAATTAAATATCATTCTCTGGTAGTAGTATTTTTAACGTATTTATCTATAAGAATTGACTTCAATATGTTTTGGGGTTTTTTTTAGTTGTAAACGTTGAAACCGGTGAGCGCACTGTGCACATCCGGGCAAACCATTGAAGTCATGTTGAAGTCTATATCACAGGTTTCAAATGTTACGGAAGTTAATAAAGTATTATTGCAGGACTCGCTCCTTTACAACGCACACATGTACTGGACGTGATACATTGCATTCAGACGTCAGGTTAAAATTTTTATGGAAGACAAACTTGTCAGAATCTCGTGACCCAAGACGATGTTTTCACCATTGTTAGCAGTGGTCAATTGGAAGAAAATAGTGAAATTTGAACGAGATGTTGTCATTAATAACTAATAATTTACTGTAACAAATGCTAGTTGTCAGATCTATGTGATATGGTTATATCATGTATAACTTTAAAAAATATCATAAGACGCATTGCCCTATGCCCACGAAAATACAAGGAATCGAACCCCAGAGGAACCAACTCTCACAGGATCAATTCTAAAGCATGCAATTCAGTCTGCAAAGACAGCAATCATTAAATCTCACTGTGCATTTCCGATCATTCTCACAGTTAAGGAGATATCTGTGTTAACACCGTATTTAACTGCTGTGGCATAATTTTCAGATCATTATTCAAAACGGTTTACGAAAATCGACCTCTATTTCCCACGACATGTTGTTGTCGAAATCCACGCCCAGTTGTCCTAGTCCAGGGTTGTTGAAGGGAGCCGTGCTGGAGATTCTCACAGTATGCAAATAACACCAAAATAGCCAACTCACGTCAAGTAATTCTTAATACGTGCAATGGTGTAATGGTGGTATGTAACCTTTGAATCAAATACCACTCATTTTGAGAATCACTCCTCTAGGGTTCGTATAAATATAGATCTCATTATGTCATTTCAAATGAGTATTACGGCACGGCCCGTGCGTTTCGGAACGCGATACTGTGCAGGTGTTACGCACAATTTCCCTGCATATTGGCGTTGCTTGTTATGATTGAGTGCCAATAATTGCCATTGATTTGTTTTAATTCCTCATTGGGGATTCAGAGGTAGGTCCGAACCCAAGGACCCCATTCCTGTAGGAAGTTTCTTCGTTGTTTCACGCCACAATCAGCAATGTTCCAGCTATATAACGACGGTCTGAAAATAACCGAGTCTTTGCCAGGCAAACCAGTGGTTGATAGCAGGAGCAGCACCCCCGCCTTCGGGATGTGATGGCAGCAACCAACCACGCCTGATCCAGTCGCCTTGAGGGGCGGTCGGATAGCCTAGTGATTAAAGCGTTCGCTCGTCACGCCGAAGACCCGGGTTCGATTCCCTTTATGGGTACAATGTGTGAAGCCCATTTCTGGTGTCCCCCGCCGTGATATTGCTGGAAAATTGCTAAAAGCGGCGTAAAGCCATAGTCACTCACTCACCCCAGTCGCCTGGGTATCGGTTTATCGGTATCTGGTCGCCACGGGGCTGTGTCGACTTATCAGGATTGGGGCTTTATAACGTATGACCTGCAAAGATGTGTCATCGTACCCGTGAAGATCTGGGTTAGAACAGGTCTTCAGCAGCCAATGCTTGTCGTTACAGGCGACTATGCTTGTCGTGAGAGGCGACAAACGGGATCGGGTCAGACTTGGTTGATACATGTCATTGTATCACAATTGCGTAGATCGATGCTCATGATGTCAATTACTGGATTGTCTGGTCCAGACTCGATTATTTCCAGACCGCCGCCATATAGCTGGAATATTGCTGAGTGCGGCGTTAAACCCAAAACAAACAAACAAACAAAGCTAATACCATGGATGTTTGGTCATGCTATCGGCCATTGGTCTGCTTGACTCGGCCGCCGTGATATTGCTGAATATGGCAAACTGCTATAATTATATTTTGGAAGTGTGACCTTATGTTGAATTTAATCTGATTGTTTCCAATTGCGGGGCAGAATAACATTCACTAACTCCACTTTATTACTCTTTCCAGGACGTCATTGACAACGACACCTTCTACTACGACGATGTTGAAACTCTCGAGGGAGACCAGCCAATCGAAACGACGCTACACATTGTTCTCGCGTTTTTCATCACCATCATCAACCTCCTCGTCATCTGTGTCATCATCAGTGACAAATCGCTTCGAACATCGCCCAAATACATCCATGTTCTCAACTTGACCTTTGCTGACCTCATTTATTCTGTGGCGGTGCTCCCTCTATTGGCAGAGTTCAACATTAGAGACAAATGGATTCACTTCTGCGAACTCAAGTTATTTGCCGAACTGTTCGACTCGAGCTTCCACCCGGCGTTCACCTGGCTAGCGCTCAGCGTGTTGAATATTGTCATCCTATTCACAGTTTGCACAACCCTATTTGACAAACGTTCCAAACGTCCCTACATCGCAATGGCGTTAATGCTCCTCCCGTGGGCGATGACTTGTCTGGGCTTTATCCCGTTATACCGCGTTATAATAGAGCCCCTCGTTTTAAGAGGCCATCCCTGTATGTATACAATATCGCCACAACGCCACGTGGCTCTTCTTCTGCTGACCTATCCTTTAATGTGTCTGTTTTTAGTGATGACGTCATTTCTGACAGTAGTACTTGTCTTGTACAGAAGAAATGTTTCTCTTTGCGGCTCATTGTGCGGAAAAACGTTTCCGTCAAGGGGAGACAACCGCGTGCCACGCGGTGACCCGGAAGATGAGCGGCGTGAGTTCATGTTTGACGTGTTGCTCGTCAGCATACTGACAGTCATGCTCAGTTTTCCCGTTTTCGCATTGCAGATGTATTTTAAGTTAAAGAACGGGGATCGCAATTGTTCCAGCGATGAGGAATGTGACATGTATATATTAGGAAGCCGAATAGTACACTTTCTTCACGTATCTCGGAGCGCCGTGATCCCCGTGGTATGGTTTCTAGGCAAAGATTTTCGTTATGGCTTCATCCAACTTATGAAATGCGGCAAAACCAAAGAAATCAAACAGGATCTCTGATGGTGAACCATAAGCGGTTTATTTATTAATATTTAATAATTTATTAATATACCCGAGAAAAATGGAAAGATTTATTACCCTTTGGCAGCCCATCATCAGCATGTGGCCATGCTTCTGAGCTTTTGAGCATTGCACCTTTAGCGACGTGTGTGTGTGTGGCTGCTTGTAGTAGTACGGCCTAATTTCAGTTTCATAGTGCTAGGCCACTGAGATACCATGCCGCAGCTAACATGAATACCTCACTGTGACACAGTATACTGACTCCAAGCCGACCAGTCCTTGTTTCATCTCCATAGTGCCGAGCACCAGGCAGGGTAACATTAGGTACCCTTTTTTAACATATTTTGGTGTGACGCGGTCGGAGATCGAACAACCGACATTCCCTACTCCAGGCAGACGCTCTACCCACGTCACCACGGAGGCAGTCCAAGTTACAGTGAACAAAGTTGAACGTTTCACTGTGTATAAAGGGGCACGGGTGACCCAGTCGTCTAAGGCGCCGCGATTCGCTGTGCAGAGTTGCGTCCCATTGGCACGCCAGAAATCTATGATTGTGGGTTCGAATCTCGGTTCGCCCCGATTATGTGTCCAGGTTTGTCAGCACCATACCCGTGCTCGTGGGTTTCACCGAAGTGGTAAACGTCCGTGACCTGCATCACTTCGGTCTTTCCTCCCACATTAAGCTGACACGCCGTGATATAACTGGAATAATGTTAAAAGCTGCGTTAAACTCACTCACTCACTCACTGTGTATAAAGTTGCCTGTGTTATACTAATTTATGTAGTTATTATTTCCATTATTGCTTGCGGGGCACTGGGGCCAAGTGGACTACGGCATTACAGAATTACCCCCCTTAGCCATGTCAGGATCTTCAGTTCCATCTCAATCGCCATCCTTCATCCTAACCATGTTCGCTGTTCATTGTAAACATGAACACATATGTGTCTCTTTGGGTTGTTTCACTTTCGGCTGTTCAAAGGGGCGATAACCCCATCTCACTCCAGCATTGTGGCATGCCGTTTGTGAATTTGTCTTGCATGCAATCAAATCAGTCCTGCGTAATCGATGCATTTATTTGAGTTTGTCACTACTATTGCAAATAAACATCTTTTACAAACGTTATTGGTAGAAATGTATTCTTTTAAAATGACAGTAACCTCAAATGGTTATTAATGCGTTTAAATTCATTTTTTCAATCGTTTCGGTAGAAATCGTCATCCGGCTACCTGACTTCTAACCTGCTTCACGTGGCTAGAACTATAATGTTTGGGGTTTCGGTTTTTAACGCCACTTAAACAACATTACATTTATATCACAGCACGTCAGCTTGACGTGGGAGTAAAACCGGAAGTGATGTTGGTCTTCGATGTTTACCACATTGGTGAAACCCACGAGCACGGGTATGGTGCTAACAAACCTAGTACTATAATCAAGGTAAACTGGGATTCAAACCCAAAATCATAGGTTCCTGGTGCGTCTAAAGGACGCATCTCAGCTCTGCGAAGTGCGGCGCCTTAGACGATTTGGTTCACTGGTAAAATACCCTTCGCAAAGCCCAAATTACCCTAAATTGCATTCTTTATCTAATCAGTTGATGCACTATTTTGTTTGCCAAGTGATGACATTTAATGTCAGAAACTTTTAAAAACTCGCTCGCCGCATCTTTTATTCTTTAAAAAGAATCAGACGATTAAACTGGTGTGGCCTCGAGGTTTGATCGTCGAGGTTTGTTCTATCATTAGGATCGGCTAGTCACATCTGGCCTGTCTGATTGCGTGTCAAGGTGCACCGACGGAGTGGTTTGTTGCCCATGTTATCGTCCACTTGTTTAGCTGGTCTGATTTAGGTGAGGTGAAATGGGGTTTCACGATTATTACACATATATAGCGACCTGCATGTACGTGTGTGAGTGCGGCTGCTTGTTCTATGTCCGGAATAATGCCGAGTTTATAGTGCCAGCCCACTGAGACACCATACCGCAGTTTAAAATAAATACGCCACAGTATACTGACTCCGATCTGACCAGTCCTTGTTTTAGCCCATTAATGCCGAGCTCCAGGCAGGGTAACAACAAGTACCATCTTTTAACGTTGTTTGGTATGAATCGAAACCTCGAACTTCCGCTCTCCGGGCAGTTGCCCAACCACTAGACCACGGAGGCGGTCTTGGTTTAAAATTATGCAGAAGAAATAGTGCAGGAGACTTTATTTGTCATCATTCTAACATGATTCTGTTACACTGAAGGTCTCTAGCCCGGTTTTAAGTTATACTAACACTACTGAAAAATTAATTGTTTTAAATTTGATCTGGTTTGTTTATGACTGAGTTGTGATACTTACCCGACCATTTTACTGTTCTTTGTGGTCAAGTATTTAATCATAATTAACTAATTCAGCCATACTTAGGGTTGCTCCGTTGGCAATGAGGCTCATTTCCACCAGTAAATCATCACGTTAATGTGAACTAATTACCATCTCGGTTGATGTAATCAGAGCTGTCACCGTGAGCGATTATGTTGGCAGGCATGGACAGGGAAGAGTAACAGAAGTAAGTCAGGTTCAGGTTCAGTTCGGGGTGGAGAGATAGGCATTCTTAGTATGTGTTACTGTTCTGGAGTTACAACTGGTACATCTTCAAAATAACTAAACTCCTGTTATTCAATAATTTTGGGGAGAAATATATTAGTTCGGCATTTATTTTCACCGTTTCTACAACCTGTCACCCCTACAATGGGAAGTTTCATGTTGATAGTCTTAAACCTGAATAATATTATTACACTGACCACTACCTCGTTTCGGAATATTTGTATTTAAGCTGACCTATGTACGCAAATGTAATTACGCGTTCCAAAAGCCAATTTTGAAGCCTTCATGCCATCGTGACATACATAAACCTTCCTATTCTGAAATTTGACTTTTACATTTGAAATAAAATTAAAAAAAGATATATCGAATCTGCAGTGACACGACCTGGCATTTCAAAACATAAAAGGTTTATCTCCTAATTCAACTGAGTGACTTATCAGTTGTAGGTTTACACCGGATGTTAGTCTATTTCCTGTCCAGCGTTAAAAAGAATTGAAAAGCGTTGTGTTCCACTCTAATGTGAGCCGCGTTTCCATTCTGTTTGGGGTATATACACTTATTCACGTTTTCGTCAAATTATTCGGTAACTTCAACCAGGTCGCCATGGAGAACACAGCAAACTGACATGGCTGAAGTTAATTATTCCAAATTATTGTATATTGTTACACAAAGTATATAAATGTCACGTAGAATTATACTTGACACGTCACATTTGGCTGTACACGTTGGTTAATGTCAGGCAGGTTATTATGGGTGGTGTTTGCTTCATGCACAGTACGGGGGACAGACGACGCACGAACACACGACGGAGAAGAGGCTGTTGATCATTTCTCTAATTCAAGGTAAGAAAACAGCTGACCAGATTCTTTCTTTGTCATCTACACATGAGCAGTAAAGCTTATATTCTGTGACTACACAGACTATACTTAGAAACGCTGTACATACCAACTAATGCGTTTCATAGGACAAGTCATCATATGTTTTAATGCGTTTCACAGGACAAGTCATCATATGTTTTGATGCGTTTCATAGGACAAGTCAAATGTTTTTATGCGTTCATAGGACAAGTCATCATAATTATATTATTATGTTTTAATGCATTTCATAGGAAAGTCATCATATGTTTTTACGTTGACAGATATAAGTACTGTATACTGCAATGTGCAGTTAGTAAAAGTCACTGAAGGTGCAGTCACACTGTACTATTTCATGAATACAATTTGTTGTATCATATAGTGACAAAGTTACGTCAGTGATCATATTTAGATATAATTATGCATAAAGATTCAGAACAAAATATTCTCCACAAGACTGTATGACAAGAGGGATGACTTCAACTTTCCAATAGTCAACTATCCCTCTATGTCGAGCAATATTCCTGCAGCTCCAGCCTTTGGTGCCTACATTTCACAACTTTTGAGGTACAATCGAGCATACTCTTTCTATGGAACTTTCAAAGAACGTCATACGACTCTTGCTCAAACGTTGTTTGATCAAGGTTACAACATTCAAGGCCTCAATAAAGCTTTCCAAACGTTTTATGTTAGACATGTGGATGACATTTCCATATTTGATGCATCAGTGACAAAAATAATGTCCGATGCAATTCCAAATTTGGACTTGTGCCATATGTTTTTACCCGTGTTTATTCAGAACAATTGACTTGACTTTGCATGTGTTTGTGACGGGTGCAGGCGGCCAGGATACGCTCACCATTCCGCAAACGGCTGGTAACATCCCTGTTTGATGGTGATTATGGACGCATGCTCACGATATGGTCGGAACTGTACAATCGACTCTGCTCTTGACGGAGATTTTCGCGTGTCAGTTTAGTGTGTGAGGAAAGCCTGAGTGAGTGAGTGAGTGAATTGGGTTTAACGCCGCTTTTAACATTATTCCAGTTATATCACGGCGTGTCAGCTTAATGTGGGAGGAAAGCCCGAAGTGATGCAGGTCTCAGACGTTTACCACTTCGGTGAAACCCACGAGCACGGGTATGGTGCTGACAAACCTAGAAACATAATTGGGGCGAACCGGGATTCGAACCTACAATCATAGGTTTCTGGCGTGCCCAAGGGACGCAACTCTGCACAGCGAATCGCGGCGCCTTAGACGACTGGGCCACCCGTGCCCCCGAGGAAAGCCTGAAGTGACGCAGGTCTTAGACCCCTCTGGTGTTACCAACGAGTACACGTTTGGTGCTGACAAACCTAGAAACATAATCAGAGCGAACCGAGATTTGAATCCACCATCAGAGGATCCTGACACGCCCAAGGGACACAACCCTGCGCAGGGAATTTAGGCGCGTTTAATTAATTTCTTATACTTACTTGATGCACGGTGTGGGTAGATGCCTTTTATATTCAATTATTCTTCTCTTTTAAATTACAATTATTCACAATGATATAAATTTATATTCTCATGAACTGTACAGGGAATTTCTCAGGAGGGAACGAATGCGCGTTCGAACAAATCCTTTCTCAATGTATTTTAAGGGAGAGTGTGTGTATGTTCTCATCGTTCATCTCATGTAACAGTACATAAGAAGTGACTTTTTATTCTAAGGGTGGGCTTTAGGCAGTGTGATGGTAACGCAATTCGATGTGCAGATTTACGCCCCTTAGTCTGAGAGGGGCATTCATGTTAAACTGCGGCGTGGTATCTCAGTGAGCTAGCACTATAAACCGGCATTAGTCCGGACTAGTACAAGCAGCCACACAAACACACACACGTACATGCACGTCGCTATAGAAGTGCAATAATCTTGAACGCAACGTTAAACCCCATTTCACCTCACTTCACCGAACAAGCACAAGCAGCCACACACACACCCGTGCATGCACGTCGCTGTATAAGAGCGATAATCTTGAACGCGACGTTAAACACCGTTTCACCTCACCCAGTCAAAAGTTAGCTGGTGTGCATATTCGACAAACATACCCATTTCCCTACTTTTAGGCCCATTGCCTGAATGGTTGGGACTCTTCTATACTAAACACGACTCATA